CCCCAAAACCCCAAAACCCCAAAACCCCAAAACCCCTTGCTAGATTAACACAATTGAGATGTGTTTAAATCAAATTATTTTTAATGGGATCCGTTAAACCTGTTATTGTCTTACAGATCTCCTTTGCCTTCATGCTCGCCGATAGAGACTCAAAGGCTTTCGATTGGACTCAGGCCAGTACTGCTTGGTACATCGGATCTTCTGTATTTACTATTGTTCCTAAATTTTTTAATTATATTTGAGAAATTCTTCGTTTAACCAAAGTATAGAAATTTCATGGCGGTTTATATGAACACATAAGCAAAAACTTACCTGAATCACTTTTATCAACTTTAGCGCAGACGAAACTAGTATCGAAATTGACGATAGAACTTTTATCATCGCATATCTTTGCTCTGCTGGTCTTCTTACCAGTTCCTTTAGACTCTGAATTTCAGAAATCTTTGTACGCATTTTCTTTATTTGTAGGATTTTCATTCATCCGTTTTGCAATCTGAACCATATTAGGACAAGTCTCTGATCGTTTAGCTTTGACTCTATACTTTTCACTGCTAGCCATCTTGGATAGCTCATCATTCTCGCTTGTTAAGTGCTCTAGAGGATTACCTATGGATGTGTCATTGTAGAAAACAGTGTCAATAGGGCCATTGATTGGATCATCAGGTAGAGTATTCTTAGCCTTCTCATCCTCATTTCTGTCTGTAATGGTAAGAAACATATTAGATGCTCCATCTTGATTAGTAAACGAAAGCTGATCTATTATATTTAATCGGGATTCTACTGAGTCTTGAACATTATACCTATTACTTTTCTTATTTTCAAAGGGATTAGGCTCATCTTCATGCTGATTAAGCATTTCAACCTCTTTCTCATCCTGAGTAAGATGGATCTCTTTCTCAGGATCAGAATCTTCTCTTTCAGGATGAAAATTTAGCAACTCCTCTATCTTGTCTTCATGATTGAAATGCTGTGTTTCTTCATCACTTTTGTGAAAATCTGGATATCTAGCAATTTTCGCTCTCTTGGTTGTCTTTCTCAACTCTGAACTTTCATTGTTTGTAATTGGGAACATCGAAGCTTTTGCATTTTTATTGTGTGAGATTAACGAATATTTTAAGCCATCTGCTAAGTTCAAGAAATTCTTGCTGGAGCTATTCACTTTTGATGTAGAGCCTGACTCTTTATTTATTATACGCTTCATATATTTCAGACTTCTTCCCTGAAAACTGTTTGCCGTTATAATAATTTTGGGTTTTATTTTTAATTCCTGATCCAGTGTAATCTTCTGGGCTATCGTCACTTCTGACATAACTGAGTTTGGCTTCATCAAGATCAGAATTCAAGTCTTCATCAAAGGAGTCCATCATGGGCTCTTCCTTATCTGGGGAATCATCATTGTATCTGTTTTTATATTGTCTGACCTCAGAATTGACCTTCTTGAGGCACTTCATTCCTTTAGGAAGATCTCTATTATTTCCAAATACTTGATGACCATATGATGCATCGCTTATATTAAATTCTATCTTTTGCAAGCCTGAGGGAGAAATATTCCTAGCAGTATTCTCCCAAAGTCTTTCCTTATGCCGAATCTCAGTGTTTGATTTCCTGTTACTTGAGTTACTTGATTTATGTTCCTTAGATTCCTTCGTCATTAGCCTTGACGAGAAGATAGGCACTGCTTTTGTATAAGAAGTATTTGCAGTTTTTCTGACTTTCTTACAGTCAGACCGATCTTTCTTCGTTTCTACAAGAAATAAATACTCGAGAAGCTTTATGTAAGGACTTACTTTTGTAAAATTTATTGATCTTCATTTTCTTTGAAGATTTTCTGTAGGCATCTTCATCAATTTTCTTTCCATTAGCACAAGCGATAAAGCTTTCATAAGGCATGTGCTTATTGATCTCCCTCTCATGTTGACAATTATACCCAGTCTGGGCAAGATTCTCTGGACTATAAGAGCACTCTGAGGAGCCAATATTTCTCTCAATTTTAGAGTTATTTAATTGTAGATTTAATAACCTTAGCGTTCTTGCTTGCCTTCTTTAGCTTCTTGTGCAACCTAGCGATTTCATTCTTTTTGTTCTTATACAGATACAGCATTTGATGATTTTCAGGGCTTGCCTTCTGAACCATCACATTTACTTGAGACTTTCTATTTCTGCCCGAATATGTTCTTCTCTGAGCTCTGGTTCGAATTCCTATTCTTTAGGCAGTTCTTCATTTTACTCCCAATAGAATCATTTAGGCATTTAGTTGTTGAAGAATGTTGTAGCTTATTCAATTTTGCCGTTAGGTTCATTTGGGCTATAATAAGAATTATGATAAGAAGGGAGGCAACCAGCCAGTTAGAATCAGTATGCGTTGGCCGTATCAGTAAATACTAAATTTCTTATGAAGTTCTAGTGAACCATAGTAATGTTTTAACTATATCAAAATCTTTGAACTTACCCATTGATTTTAAGTCCATTGTTTGTCCTTTAGAATTCCCTCCATTGAGACTGTGGTTGCTGATATTGAGAGGATACATGCTCCCTCCACTTTTCACAGGGAAGAAAATTTCCTTAGTCTGATGAAGCTTGCATCTTGCCTTCTTACTCTTTGCCATAGTTGCTGATGAAGTGTAATGGCCCAGTAAACTGACTTTAGATTTGGAATTAAGGAAATCATTTTTCGGAGTCATTATTTCAGTAGGTAATTCTTTTCCTTGCGATAATAAGCTAACTGTGTTTCGGTTCGAAATATCAACAGCATCTTTCTTTCTCATAGTTACAGGAATGTTTGAGCCTAAGGAGTTCTTCTTATCGAAATAATGAAACTTATTTGCTGCTGGTTCCACCTACTTTTTCGGGATTTCTCATTCTGGCAGTGGCCACTACTTTTGAGATCCTCTTGGCCTTCTTCTGGCTGCTCAATCTTTGGTATCCCTTATATGCCCTGGCTTTATTATTCATGATTGTTTGAAATTTTAAATCAATTTATTTTCTTTGTAAGGGGTTTTGGGGTTTTGGGGTTTTGGGGTTTTGGGG